TAGCCATGGGCTAGCTTTCTGGACCTGGCTGCCAAATAAACTTTTCCTGTATCCTGAGAAGTCTAACGCCTGTCATTTTCTGCAGCACTTTGAAACAGCACAGCAATCCAGGGCTGGAAGGGACCTCAGAGGTCATCTAGTCCAACCCCGTTGCAGCAAGAGACCTTGTATCATCTTGGTTATTTTAGTGCCTCTAACACAGAGGAGAAATCCCCAGAAATCCCCGGGCATTGCCAACCTCTCCCCCCTAGTAAAAAAAAAACCCTAGAGCAAAAACTTCATGCAGTATTAAAAGGAATAGAAAAGGGGGCTGCTGTGTATTGCTTAATGGACTGCTAAACTGGCAAAATGGACGGCTAAATTGGCAATGCCCACCCAGTCACATGACCACCAAACCACTCCCACCCAGTCACATATACTGCCAAGCCACGCCCACAAAATAAGCCACGCCCACATAACCGGTAGTAAAAAAAATTGAAACGCACCGCTGTGACTATGGACACAACCAGACAAATACATCAGAATAATATCAATAATACCTTAGAAAAACTATGGCAAGCATGGTGAAGCGAGGGATCTCAGTCTTCAGAATGAGCAACGAAGGACTCCCAGGTCTAACCAGGCAATGGCAGCAAGTAGCTTAGAGCACGTTTTATCAACCTTGGCAACTTTAAATTGTGTGGAATTCTGAGAGTTGAAGCCCATAAATCCTCAAATTGCCACGATTGATGAACACTGGTTTAAAAGCCTCTACCTACTGCCTACTGGTCTTTAGAATATCTGCAGTATAGCAACATTTTTCCTTAGGAACTTGCAGGGTTTTAGTCGCCCTGCCTGTAGCAATCCGCTAGTGACTCCTGTCGGATACGGTTGAAATCGCGTGCCGAAATTCTTAGCGAGGGTGCCATGTATTAAACGGGTAGCCTCGAGATTCCTCAACTTTCACGTGGGTATCTCGAGTCCCCCTCTCGCCGCCTCCTTTACACAAGTTCGGCCGGTTTCCTACTAAGTTCACAGTCACGTGTAACTTTCTCCCTCTCTTCTGATATGCCCTTTCTAGAATTATCGGTATCTCTTCGCCGCCATTCGGATTTTGTTAGCCCTCAAAATGTAAAAATAAAGAAATAAATGAGTTTAATATTTAATGTGAACCCCTGGGTATCATAGTGACACGCATGCGTACGAGGAAAAGCTCCCCTTCCGATGCCATGTTTGGGTCGGGCATAAGAAGGACAATCGATGTCCTCGACTCCTCCCCTCCCCCCCATCTTCCTTTGTTCCCCGCCTCCATCTTTGAAAAGGACAGTGTGTGGGCGCTGGTCTCATGCCTTGGTGCGGGCGGTCAGAGGAGGCGGAGTCATGGGGGTGGGGGTGGGGAGGTGGCGGTTGTTGTTTAGAAGAGGAGGAGGAGGGGGCGGCATAAGTGTCCTGGGAAGGGTTAAAGGTGAGAGGTCAGGATTCTGCTGACCCCCAAGGGGGCTGGGAGGGAACGGGTCTCCGGTGCTTAAGCCAGGGGGGGAAAAGAAATAAGAGGCAAGATAAGGTAATATGCGTTACCCCACTCCCCCGCCGCTTCCTTTCGGAGCCCTGCTCGGGGGGCTGGGGAAAGAAAGGAAAGATTTGTGCCGGGGGGCGTCCCTTCTTCCTCACAGTGCTGTCTTTCGGTATGTGTCCCCCGCCCTCTTGCTTTTATTCCAGGGCTGTATCATTTGCGTTGGTGCCCTTTTTGCCTCTGCCCCGCTTTCCGCCTTGCATATCCTTCTCTGCACTCCACTCCCCCACATCCGGTGCATGTTCTTTACAGAGCAATCTTGATCATCTGAGCCCCACTTTCTGCCCTGCACACAATCGTTGGTTGCTTGCCTCTTGCAAGCTCCTGCTTTGGCTGCTTCTCTCCATGAGAGAACCCAGAGGGGTCCAGCTTCTTTGACTCCTCCAGATGTGCTGTGGCTTCTCTTGGTTTTCATACAGGCTGTTCATCGTGGCTTAACTTTTTTTTTAACTCCTGTTCAATCCTGGTCAATGCCAGGTGTGCTGCTAAGCTGAATTCCCTCTCCAAGGCAGACCAGGTTTCTTGGCCTTCTGTCCATTCCTGGTCTCTCATAAAAGTGCCCCAGGGGGAACCTGGGCTGTGACATTCAGCTGATTAATTGGTTAGGCAAATTGACTAAAAGTATTTGGCTTTTCGACTGGGCAAAAACAACCATAGGTGGCAGAAGCTGTCTTTAAAAAAGGCATCATGTGAATTTGAATGCCTGTTGCAGTGCCGTATTTGTGTCACTTAGAAACAGGTGTGTGTTTCCTTCCTGTGAATATTTAATAGTTTCATCGGCTCAGCTTTTTAACTATGGCTCAGTTCTTTTCCACTGTGCAATGGTTTAACCTCCGTGTCCTCATTTTGTTTGCCTACAGGATGACAGATATGGCAGATAATCATAAGGAAACTTGGGTAGCCCTGGTGGCTGCAGCAGAACAGTACCGGAGTCAAACAGGCAATGAAATTGTTTTNTGCAAGTAGAAAAGATTAAAAGGTAACGGTTCCTCTCACACATATGTGCTAGTCGTTCCCAACTCTAGGGGGCGGTGCTCATCTCCGTTTCAAACCGAAGTTCCAGTGCTGTCCGAAGATGTCTCTGTGGTCATGTGGCTGGCATGACTCAATGCCGAAGGCGCATAGAACACTGTTACTTTCCCACCAAAGGTGGTTTCTATTTTTCTACTTGCATTTTTACATGTTTTTGAACTGCTAGATTGGCAGAAGCTGCAAAAAATAATGGGAGCTGACTCTGTTACGCGGCACTAGGGATTCAAACTGCCGACATTTCTGATCGACAAGCTCAGCATCTTAGCCACTAAGCCACCGTGTCCCAGAAGTGTGTTGATAATGTATCCAAAAAAAAAAGAAAAGGAAAATGATCACATTAATAAAGTGATCAGAGTAGCAGATGATACATTAGAGGAAGAAGTCTGGGAGCTAAAAACTACAGAACCAAAGAAGTCTGACAAAAGCGTTATCTGAAGCCTTTTCATCTCATGGAAGTAGGGATGATAAAGTTAGAAGAGCAGGATTCTAAAACAGAGAGGTTCACTAAAGTTTTCTGTACAATTACTAAGGGCCTCCTCAGATGCTATAAACCATTTATAATGAGAAAAAGGGAAGCTTGGTACAAACCACCCTTGGGGCTTACTTCAGGGTAAAGGTAAAATATATAGTAGGTACTAAGACAACCATTTGACCAACTGATGCTAAGTAAGCATTTTCTGTACCTGTTCTGACTTATCTAAAAATTCAACTTAAAGGCAAATTCAACTTAGGAAGGGATCTGGTTCCTAACCTGTGGGACTGTCTGGTAATGAAATCCTGTGTTCTGATACAGCTCAACAGTGCCACCTAGAGCATATGGGTTTTGGAATACCTCAAGGATGCTTAAATAAACATGTTCTTTTTGTTTCTCCATAATCTCCCAAAATTGAGGTCTTTTAAAAGTAAGCCAATGCAGAGATTTTAAGCTTGGTTAGCCCACTGACATCAGATATACAATTACTGCACATTCAGATGAAACAACTGTCTGTTTCTTTTCAAATAACTAGCATTCTCTACATTCATATGAGATTTATTTCTCCATCTTGGAACCAAAGACCAAAAGTTTTAAAGATGCATTTCTCATTCCTTCTCTTGTCTACAATAAATGTTGCCCAGTGAACTATGTAGTTCTGCATAAACCGCATGTAGTCAGCTAAATTAAAAGGATTATTAATTTCACTTGAAAATACACGTGTCATTATTGTCTTCCCATGTTTTTCTTTCTTTAATCCAAAATTTTGTTTTGGTATAGCCTAAAACTAGCTATAATTTATAAGGCTGCATAGTTAGAAAAAGACCTCATCTATTTACAAAATATTTCAAAAGCAGTTTGTTCCAAGTCCTGTAGGTCTTCAATGGCTACATTCACAGCATCTTCCCTTTTCAACTTTTCCCACTCGAACCTGAAAGAGAGGGTCATTAAAAGAAACCCTAAATAGCTTTGTTTAATTGGATAGTTTGGTGCCATAAACCCTTTGAACAAACCACCACCAATACCACCCAAAAGACCTCCTCTCAGTGATGCAGTTCAGCCAGTTCTATCCAATTTGGGTGAAGTGGTAGCGGGAGACTCCGCCCACCCACCCGGACATCATCATGTCCCATTTTTGACACTCTGTGCATGCATTTGCAAACTGATAGGGAAGGTACATAGATTTCAGCCCTGCCTCCTCTCTAATGGCTACAGTATTTGGGGCTTATGGAAGTTTTAAACAAGATGGTTATTGGTGATAGACTTTCTAATTCTATACTAGATTGGATCATGGAATTAATTTTAATGGTTGCATATTATTGCAGTCATTTAGAAGAAATACCTGTAAAGAAGAGGATCTACCAGTAGAGAAATTAATTCCTTTTGGAACCATCAGAACTAATAAATAAAGAGGTCCTGTAACTGAGTTGGACTACAAGTCCCAGAACTGCCATGCAGTATACGTGGAAGGCAAGAGATTGGGGAAGGAAGAGTGGTTAAATATGGTCTGTTGAGTCCATGAATATGTTCTATTTGCTGATAACATTCCTTTCTTTTCCCATTTATATTACCAACTTGAACATAGAGGCACAAGGCATACCATACCAAATATGTTGATATAGAGAAAGGTTTCCTGTCTTTAACTTTATAAAACATATTTGGATTCCTAAGCAGTTTGAGAGTTAAAAGTAGAACATTAATCCTTTCAAACTCAAGGGAAGGGCCTGATGCTTTTTAATATTCATCTCACCTATTGCTAATGTTGTCATGATTAACTGTGGAGTTCTTAAGTAGGGGGGAGTTGATGTTATCTGCTATAGAAAATGTCTCTTTAATCTTGCCTGTGTTTTCCACTAGAATACAGAAATCTCTTAGATACAAGGCTGTGTTCTTTTATATGGCTGCTAGAATTTCTCTCATAAAGATATGAATAGTAATTTTTTTTTCTTTTTTAACCATCTTCACAGTGTATCATGTTAAAAAAATGGAAATAAGGACTGTTCTCCAACTTCAGAAATTATAATCTAGTAAATTATAGTTTTAGTCTTTTTCCACTAATTGCCAGCCATAACAACTGAAACATATTTTTCCTATTTCCATGCTTTCTTGGGTCAGTGTATTTACCTTAGTCATCTATAGCAAAGGTCCCCAACCCTTGGGCTGCAGCTTGTTGGAAACTGGGCCACGAAAGTGGCAGGCAAGCATGCACGCATGACGCTCCACATGCAAATGGCGGATGGGAATCCGTGTGCACACCGGCCGCTCACACGGGATCATCCCCTCTCCTGCCCTCCAGTCCACCAAGCCAGAAAGGTTAGGGACTGCTGAGCTACAGCTCTATTGAAGAGCATTATGGAAAACCTACTATTGCCTTTAAATGTTTATTTATTAAATTTGTATGCTGCCCATCTCGCTATCCAAAGTGACAAATTTAAGTCTCTTTATATGTAGACACAGTATGTGTGGGATCTTTGTGTTGTTCATTTTAGGTTTAGGTTTATTAGATTTATATGCCGCCCTTCTCCCAAGGACTCAGGGCGGCGTACAACATTAAAAGAAA